GATTGATTTAGAGAACCTTGAAATATTGAGGACTCAATTGAGTTTTGGGATTGATTGAATTGCATACATGTGTTTTCTAAATTGCAGGTTATCCATTCAATTCCGATTTCCTAAACCATGTCCAATCCTAAATGTGCTAGGTCATCATCTAGTCGCTCACACCGTCAACCAAATCCACCTCCAAATCCTCAAAATCCAATTCCTAATCCTAATCCCATTGATCCTAATTTGACTATCCAAAATTCGTGTTTCAATCATCCTGGTCCTAGAAATCATCGTTTTTGGTATTATCAATATTTCGACTCTTACAAAATCGGGAAGAACGTATTCCTTCTCGTCAAGCTATGTTAGCTATTAATTTTAAATATCTTCCTCTTTTACAAGAGTGGAAATTTGATAAATTCTTTGACCTTGAACCCATCGTTTACCATCAACTTGTTCGTATTTTCTATTCTAATGTTTGTGTTAAAAACCAAAACTGAAACCAAAATCATAGGAATTCGTTCCTACCTCCTAGGATAATTCTTATATATTGACTCGGCTTACATAGCCAATACATTCGGATTAGATAATGATGGTATTTCAAATGAAAAACAGGTTTTAGGATCTCGTTATAAAAGAAGAGATAGTGCGAGTGTCTTAGACCTACATGAACGTTTTCTTCATCTAATGATTTCTTGGTGGTTTCGACCATCCGGAGGTCGTTATTCTACTCTTAGAGCCTTAGATCTTTGGTGGTTACATTGTTTCGAAAATAATATTAAAATTAACTTACCTAAGATTATTTTTGCTGAAATTGTTGAAACCGTAAATCTTGTTCCTAACAAGAAACTCTGTTCATCTCTTGTTTACGGTTGCATTTTGAGTAATCTATTTTCCAAAGCTGGGCTTAGAGTCGGTCTGGATGCCGTTTTTCCCCTTAAGAAACAAATTAATCTTCTTTCCTTAACGAGAGCGGGATGGATTAAGGATAAGAAAAACGGTGAATGGGTTCGATCTTCTGCAAATACTCCGGGAGCTAGTTCTTCACAAGCTCCACCCGAAGCTGACGAAGATCTCGAGCTTGAGCAATTAATGCGAGACATCGATAAAGCCGAAGATGAGCCTGAGCAGCCCGAGGAGCAGCCCTAGGAGCAAGCACAACAAACGCATCAAATGCCTCCATATTTTCAATCCTTTATGGATACATTCGATTTTCGATATGCTACCATGGATTCGCACTTTACTTCTATAGAGTCCCATTTATCCACAATGAGAGCTCAACAATTAGAAATTCTTTGGGAGATGCGTGCAAACAATGAAGCAACCAATGCGCGTATTAATGACCTCACTCACGAAATGGCCGCTATGCGAGCTCGTTTTCCTCCTCCTGATCCTGATATGTGATTCTATGTTTTGCTTTGAACTCCAAACTTATTGTTTTAACATTTTGAATATTTTGGAATGTTTGAATTTGTGGGTTGATTGATTTTGAATTTGTTTGGATTTATGAATGGTGAGAACTTATCTATTTGGTGTGATTAAATTTATTCATTATTGCATCATTTACTTCATGTTAGATATATGACCAATTTTTCCATGTCACATTAATTATGAATATTGATTATGAAACTAATGGCTAACGTTTCTCTTGCTTGTGATCTTAGCAGCTTAAATTATATATAATCAATTGGCTAAATAATTTCAAAACCTTGTTTAAATTCTTTAAAATGTCTTTTTGATTTAACAAAATGGGGGAGAAGTGTTAAATGTGTTTTAAAATGATAAATGGGAGAAGTGTTAAAGTAAGGGGGAGTAATTTCAAAACTTGATTTCAAAATCTTAAAATTACTAAAATGTTTTGTTATATCAAAAAGGGGGAGATTGTTGAAAACATTTTGATATTTCGATATAACAAATTAAGTTAAATGAATTTTAAGATTTTCCAAATGATTTTCTAAGTATATTCGATATAACTATTCGAATATCAAAACATTACTCCAAATCTTTCAAAAATCATTTTTAATCCTTACTTAGGTGTAAAATTAAGTTTTAATCTTAAAACAATTTCAAAATAATTTTACAAAGTATTTCGAACCATTTCAAAGCCAAAAATTCCAGATTGCTCAGAGGGAACCGATTCCCCCTGAATGGTTTGGCTCCGAGAATTCTAGTATGCTCGGAGGGAACCGATTCCCCCCCAGGGGGTACCGATTCCCCCTTGTATAACGGTCGAAATATTTGAATTTTACACTTAGGGAACCCATTCCCCATAGGGGGTACAGATTCCCCATAGGGGGTACCGATTCCCCCCACGCTCCAAGTTGTTTTATTAATTATTTTCACACTAAAACGGCTATATGATCTTCCCTAATCATCCCCAACGTTCAGAAGTGATTCAAGGTGTATTTAAACAAGTTCTGAAGCCTTTGATCAATAAGAAATTATAGAGAAACAAGAGTGAAAGCATCAAACACCAAGTTTGTGCAAATCAAGCCAATTTTCCTTTCAATATTCATTTTGCTTTCAAAGAACACCATTTGTGCTTATTTGTAATTATTTGTGAGTGTTCTTTTCTTGTTCTAGAATTGTGCAAACATCTTACCTTGTGAGATTTTCCTTGTAAGTTTACAAATTTGTAATCTTCTCTTTGGGAAAGAGTGTTCTCAAGAATTGAGGTATATTTTGAGGGTGTTGTAAGGTTATCTCTTTGGCCTCAAAAGAAAGAACAAATTAGTGAATTTGTTGGAAAATCCTTAGTGTGGATAGCTAAGGTAGTGGACGTAGACTTTGATTGAGAAAGTCGAACCACTCTAAATCGCTGTGCAATTACTTTCAATTTTCTGCAAAAGCTTCCACCAAATTTTTAATTGCCAATTCACCCCCTCTTAGCCAATTCGTCAATCGATTAACTCAACAAAATATAATTTATAATAATTTATTTTAATAAAATATAATAATCATAATTTTTTATTTATAAAATTATAAATATAATATTTTAAGAATAATATTGACATAAATAATATTAAATAATTTATTCTAATATTTAACAAAATAATATTATTATTTTGTTAATAAATAATATTATTTTATTGTATTTGATGTTTATAATTATATTGTAATTATGATTATTTTTCATCAATTCATTATGATTATTTTTTAAAATTATATTGTAATTATATATATTTTTTTATTTTATTATTAGAAAGCTAATATCTAAATAGAAATACCGTGTCCTTTTTTCATTAGTTATATTGTGGCAACTTACAAACTAAAAAATTAAAATTAATTTGTTTTTACTAAATTTATCATTAAAAATCTATTTTTACCGGTTTTGTTATTGTTGGGCATAACAAAATCGGTAAAAATTACCTAAAACATTATTATTTCTACCTAAAACATCAATATTTTTTAACATTTCCGTAAAATGCCCAACAATAATAAAATCGGTAAAAAAAGAACAAAACCGGTAGCGCTTTACCGGTTTTATTAAAATAATGATGTTTTTGGTAATTTTTACCGATTTTATTATATACAACAATAACAAAATCGGTATATTTTACCCGGTAAAATGCCAAATAATAACAAAATCAGTAAAAATAATAATATTTTCGGTAATATTTATCGATTTTATTATACACAACAATAACAAAACCGGTACATCTTTTTTAAATAAATAACAAAACTAATACCACCTTTTTTTTTTTTTTTTTTAGCCGTAAACGCCTCCCGTGAGCATTTCCCATATCTTTTTCTTTCCCGTTATTTTGATAAAGGAGATGGAAAATCATTGAAGAGAGGCACAAAGGGGAGGATGAGAAGGGTTGTTGCAGGAAGAGATCATAAATTTAAGGTTTGGTCCAAATATTTGATAAATTATTTTAAATTAAGACCTAGTTGATAAATGTATAAATTTTATAACTAAATTTATTATTATATTATTATACATTATTATTTCTATTAAAAATTAATGGTAAATAAAAAAAATATAATATTAAATATAATTTTAAAAAATAATAATTAAATAGTTAAAAAGTAAAAAAATTAAATGAAGGGCCAAATAAATAGTTTACTCTTAAGAAAATATTGTACGGGAAAAGAATATGTAATGATAGAGATGGAAATCTGTAAGGATTTGGCGTTTGACGGTACAAAACGTAAATAAATTTTTTTAACTCAAGAAACCCATCTTTCAGCATCATAACCTGACATTTGCAGTTTTGTTTTATTTCTCCACAAAAAGAAAGGCCACGAAATAGCCAGTGCTTCCCGTGACTTTAACATGCAACAATGATAAAAGAGTAAATTACTCGTTCAGTATCTAAATTATTAATTTTAATATGTGTTAATAGTTAAATTTTTAATTTTTTTAAAAATATATATAATATTTAATTTTTATTTTATTTTAATATATTGATGTTAAAATTTAACGGACGGGTTCGTCTGTCTCCGCGCTAAAGTTGATAATCTTCGTATCTATCGAACATTGAAGCCCAATCTTTCAACTCGCACTTTTTTGACATCTTGAACATGGTTCCGACCTCCATTTCATCAAAAAATATCTCAATATCTTCAAATCGACGATGGACTCTTCGACTTCTTCATCCTTTATCACCGTCATCAACTCGTCATTCTCTTAGGTCCACTGTATAATTTAGTCATCCGTCCACCGGAGTTATGTCCCGTCAACCCTTCCGTTAAGTTTTTAATGATAGAATACTAAAATAAAATAAAAATTAAATGTTATGTATGATTTTAAAAATATTAAAAGTATAAATACTAAAACAAATAAAATTAATAATTTAAATACTAAACACTTGATTTACCCCAGATAAAATTATCTATGGGTTGGCATCATCACGGTTGCCTCCCATCACCATCACTTTAACTCCTCCATCACTCCTTTTATTTATTTATTTTTTGTCTCTCCCTCACACTTATTTCCCTACTTTTCCCTTTATATTTTGGACCCTGTTTGCTGTTACAGTTTCAGTCCTCTCCCACTATTAAAGTCCCCACAACCCCCCACCCCCACCAGTTCCTCTCCTATCTCTATTTACCATCTCTCTCTTTATTTGGAGTTAGTGTGGCAAGTATTTGGCAGCAAAACTTTGGGCAAGTTGAAGTCAGAAGAAAATGCCTAGTTCAGGGTCATTTCTGAGGCAGTTAAGTGGAAAAGAAGGTTGGAAATCAACATCCCGGAGGTGGGGAGGGAACAACAAGTATAACAACGTTTCTGGGTATGGTTGTGGTGGGTTTGAGGCAAGTTTAACTCAGATTGAAGGGCTTAACATGTATGGCAATGGGGTTGATAATGGGTTGGTGTTAAGGAAGAGAGTGATGATTGTAGTGGATGAAAGCTCACATTCTAAGCATGCAATGATTTGGGCACTCAGTCATGTAGCTAACAAGGCTGATTTGCTTACTTTACTTCATGTTGTTCCTCCATTACACTCTTCTTCTCCTTCTCCTTACTTTGCTAACTCTCTTGGCTCACTTTGCAAGGCCTGCAAACCTGAGGTAACCATGTGGGGCTTTTCAGATTTCATTTGTTTTTTTTCCGTTGGCCATGAATCATGTACTACTTTGCAACATTAAGCTTTGGCTTCATGCTACTTAGGTACAAGTGGAAGCACTGGTTATCCAAGGGCCAAAGCTGGCAACAGTGATGAGCCAAGTGAAGAAGCTTGAGGTTTCAGTGCTGGTGCTGGGTCAAAAAAGGCCTGCTCCGTTCCTAAACTGGTAGGTCCTTGCAACCCATTTCTCCTAGTATAATTCATTTGTCGATCAGATCTTCATTTTGGTTTGCGTGGCAGTATTTGCGGCGGGAGCAGTGGCGGTGACGACTTCGTTGAGCGGTGTATCAACAGTGCAGATTGTTTAACCATTGGGGTTAAGAGGCAGAGCAGAGGAGTAGGTGGGTATCTTGTCAGCACCAGATGGCAGAAGGATTTCTGGCTCTTAGCTTAATCTTATAAGTTATTTATTAACTAATTATAGTTAAGTCTAATGTTGGAGTTTATGAAGTGACTGTAATAATATTTATGATTAGCTACTGATATAGTTGTACTATTCACCTGATGTTTGTATAATCACTGCTTACCGGGTTGCCTTTGTAAGCTCGCCGTCATTGATATAAAATGTATAACTAGTTTCCTTCTCTTTATCCGACTGATGTGTCCCTGCACAAATATATCGCTTAATACAATCATATTTCAAAGGTAATAGTATTTTTTGCTTGAATCAATCATATTTCAAAGGTAATAATTTTTTTAAAATCACATATTCATGTTTGGTTTAGGAACATTTCTTCCGGAGATAATAAAACATTACTTGTAGTAATTTTTTTTGCTTGAATTCCTTGAATTGTCACTCCCTTGTTTTTTTTAGGTATTAGACATTTCTCTCCTTTAGAACAAGAATGAATTTGAAATAATATGACTATTGCAAAATATCATTCTTTTTGTGCATAATTACATTGGTATACATTTATTTTATTTTATTATGATTCTAAATTTTTTTAGTACTTATTATGAAAAAATATATAATGCATATAATAAAAATTAAAAAATTTCTTTTTATTTTGAGTATTTATTATGTATGTGCTTGATTCAAGTTTTTTTATATGTATTTTATTATATTTATTTTTACGATTAATTTTCATAAAATGTTTTCTTCATTATATTTTTATTTTTTTCTATTATTTTTTCAAATAATTTGATATTATATTTCGTTGTACAACTCATACATGTAGCATGAATAAAATAAAATAAAAATAGCATCAACACATACTTACACCGATGTAAATATGTATATCTCTCCATATCTTGTTGCCTAAAAATAAACATATAATTATACTGGTATAAGTATGTTTTTGTATTTTAAAAAAATGATAAAACATATATTAAGTTATTTGTGTACAAATTGTATTAAAAATATATAAATTAAAAATAATAGAAAATTATATTTTCTATGAACTTTCATGTAAATATTTTAACTTTAATATTGAGAATTCAGCTTGTTAAAATATAAAATATATCTTAAGGATAATTTGGTAAAACATATATTTTCCTTTATTTTATATTATTTTAACCAAATACTATAATCTCACATTCCTGCCAAACAAACCACATAAGGTATATAACATTCCCAATAATACGTTAACTAATGTAATATTCCAGTAATCTTATTCCTAAATGTAATCTTTCATTTTGTGAATCAAATGACCCTCAGGAGTTTAAGATTAGGATTAGCGATTTAAGTTAATAAATTCATGGATTTAGGGGAATTGAGATGATGACAAGAGGGATGGTAGACATTGAAGGTCGGACGATGGGTGGGTGGCCATTTAACAACGACGATGGGGTTGAAATGAGAGATTTTAAGGTTTCATAAGTTTTTTTTAATTTCAAAAAATGGTTTTTTTTTAAAAAAGTTATTAATTTTCTTAATTTTTTTAAAAAATAAAAATTTCAAAAATACGAGAACGACATGTACAATTAATGATTATTACGATGTAGGTACCTAAAAGTATAATGGATAAAACGTTAGACACATATTTTGAGTGAAAAATTCGTTAAACATCTAATGTTAAATAATATAGTTTAGTCACTTATTTTTTTCATTAAGCCTGTATATATAGCGAGTTTGAGGGTGTTTTTCCCGAAATATCACTTATACCCTACAATATTACATGTCAGACATCATTCATACTATTTTTCCCGATCTAACACCCTTTGTAGTAAGGCGCGCCCCTGCAGTGCGCTTTACGTTGATATGCGCCACGTGGGGTAAGGCGCGCCCCCTGCAGCGCGCTTTACGCTGATATGAACACAAGTGTCTAAAGCGCGGCCCCTGGGGCGCGTCTTACGACACGTAGGGTTATAGCGCAGGTCAGGGGTCGCGCTTTTCAATTATCATGCTCAATTATCAGACATACATAATGCAAGGCGCGGTGCACGGACCGTGCCTTGCATTATTTACCCCGACCTTAAAGCATCCTCTCTCGGCTATAAATAGCGCTCTCCCCGTAAACTCTCTCATAATTCCCTCTCAACCAAGAAATTAATACAACAATCCTTTCAACCAGTAAATAACACCCGACAATCCTCTTATATTTAATTCAGAAGTTCGTTCGATCTTTCGTTATAAGGTAACTTTGTTATAATATATTTTTATTATACTTATTGTTTATTATGATTATTTGAAAAAATATTATAGTAATTGTTGTCAATTAATTTCTGTGCTAGTTCAAGGGGAAAGCGGGAGCATACGTCGAAATATTTTTGCGGTGCAGGTAATAATATAAAATTATATTATTTAAATTATTTACGTTTATGTGTAAAAATTTTATTTTGTTATATTTTCGTTCATATATTATTTATTTCATCAGGTTTATTTCAGTTTTTTTGCAGATATAATATTGTCGCACTTTTAAACTCTAAGAATGACGTGACTTTCAGCTATTGTTTATTATGATGGAGAAATTCGAGAAGATGAAACCGACGTTTTTTTCATATCAAATGAGCGTGTTAAAATATCATTCAAGAGAAACATAACTCTTGAGGAGCTGATAACGAAGATTTCGAGGAAGGTTCATATTGGAAGTAGTAGAAGAATGTCGTCGTTGTAGTACAGATTTCCAACATCATTGTTGCCATTAACTTATACAACGTTCGAACTATCGAACAATGATGATGTTGAAATGATGACTGATTCTCAAAGTAATTATTCAGATGGCAATATTGAGATGTATGCAAAGTTTGTTCAAGTGTGTGCTTGTAACACCCCCAGCCCGTACTCGACCCGGATACGAGTCTGAATGTCACATTGACTTTTCAAACTTTGACACTTAAAGAAAAACAGGGAAATTTTAAACTTTCATTAAAACAAAATACGTTAATTTACATAAAAGAGACCACAAAATACAAATTTGATCAGAGTATTCATAATTAACAACTTATTACATGCTAACGCTCTATACACAACCCAAAATACCTACTTTGTCAATTGCTTCTGATCTGATTATTTGTAGTGATGTTGTCCTTGCCACTTCTATTCCTCCTCCTCTTGTTTCTTGGTACCTACGTGTAAATCACTTACACGCTAAGTCATAGACTTAGTGAGGCATAATCAAATATGGAAGAAAACTCTAACTATTTAAACATGCATGAACAGGTAATCTTGTAATGCCATACCAAACAATTATAACATTAAATATAATGTAAGGTATGCATATACATATCACACATTGTTTCCTTCACAATTCTTACTATCATCTGTATCTTGTAATTATATCCTCTTGTACCTAACCTTTTAATCAACATTTGATTCATTTAACCGAGCAATACATATATCATCTGATAAATCATATAATTAATATCACAAAACATATACAACACATGTTATTTATTTATTATCCCATGTACACACGTGAGAACTGTAGATATGTGAGTCTATTGAGGGTGTGCATTATGCTGTCACCATAGCTCGTATGGGGTCCTACTATGGCTATGAGATTTGTCCCGAAGGACCACTATGAAATATCCCGAAGGATCACTGTATGTCCCGAAGAACCGCGTAGACCCTCGACTCTTGGCATGCCAACTATACCTATAGCTCTCGTATCATAAAACATGGGCATTAATATTTATTTTTTCATATCTTCACATGTACTTATCACTGCTCATATGATTTCATATGCATATATCACGTAACTTATAACACTTATCTTGTGTTCATATAACATGTATATCATTGCTATTTATTGTTCACATATGTTTTCTACAAATCCCATAATACTATTATATCCTTTTTCATATCATCCTGTGTTCACATATACTATATACATTCATCATGTATCATATAAACATGTATTCACACATATCATTAACATATGCAATTACCAATAACACACATGTATCATGTGAAACATATGCTCACATTAATGTGTTCATGCATTCTACTATAGGAAATAGACTTATCGCAAGTCTTATTTCCATTAAATATAACACACTATCTAATATGCACTCACCTTGTCCCCACTGATTACTAATTATTCCTATGACTTCCTTCCTTTCGATAGAATTCTAACTCGGTGATCGTTTCGAAGCTTGCTCGATTTTGGTATCTACACAATCATACATGGATCCATATCAGTATTATAATTGATATATTATAAACTATCACTCCTTAGGCTAAAAAGAAAGCTATTTTTATCTTTTAATGAAGGTATGCATCGATGCACTACACTATGTATCGATGCATCCCTTGATGGGTGCATCGATGTATTATCTATGCATCGGTGTATAAATCCCATTCGATGTTTGTATTTTAAGCAGGTGCATCGATGCACTAATTGCATTTGATGTTTATTTATTTGAGAGTGCATCAATGCACACACAACCCAGAAATTGTATTTTAAGCCCGAAAATCATCAATTCTTCACTCAATTCTTCTATTTTAAACCCCTATCATGTCATTAAACCCAACCATCATTACTTAAACCAACTTATATCCATGAAAATCATCTTTAACCTCAAAATCATATCCCTCATATGTAATTCAAGAATCATACTCAAATTTCAATATGTTCTAAATACAATTCTAACACTTCATATTCCTTAATTAGCACGATGACAAGTCAAATTACACTTCAAATTCAACTTATCAACTATTTTCCATAAATTCATTTAAAATCCCATTTTCTTTAATCTCTTATAACTTCCTCACCTTATTGCTTTAAAGCAAATTAAGCTTTCCTTAAGCTTAATTAGCATCTAAGGATCAAAACCAGACTTAAATTTCAACTAACAAGCAACTTATGAGAAATCTCACCTTTGCTATGAGTCTTTACGTTGGGAGGAAATAAGAGAAGAAGAGAATTCTGGAAGCTTAGATATTTGCTTCCTCTCATACACGTGACCTCCATATATATCTAACCAAATTAATTATTTTCCTTGTAAATGACCATTTTGTCATTCCATATTTTCCTTCTTTAATATTTAAATCCTACACAACATTTTTCATGTGATTCCCCCAAACTTTCAATTTATCCACTTTGACCAACAAATTCGAAAATATTTTAATTTAGTCACTCACCCGATATTGAGGATA